ATTGTAGAGCAAGGGTTGACTGGGGCCTGTGACACGTAGCAGGAGGTGGTATCCTACTGCCAGTACATGTTACTTCTATGTAGAATCTTTTGGGGCGACGAGGACAAAACTTGCTTTTTAAGTGTGTCCTTCTAGTGTTCGTCTGCCCTTGGCGCGCCTTTGGGCCTAGTTGTGGCGTTTATCAGAAAATTTTGCATCCACCAGTGTCTACGCCTTTTATCGTCGCGCGTCTGGATTGGGCAAAATAGTGCGTCACGAGGATGACTGCGTGTGCCTGAAGGTAAAACTTAAGATTCAGGGTTGCAGCAACTATTGCCAAAGTTAACTTTTGAATTTTTGGTAGCATCAATGATAGCTTTTGAACTAGGGAATACAGGTAGTCAGGCTTCTAGCTCTTCTCGTATGATGGTAGAGCTTATTGCTGCTTTAGATAACGTCAAACATGCGAATAAGTCCTTCGCTGCTTTCGGTTTGGATAATGGGGAGGTGATGTCAGGTTTTTTTTCAAGTCATTGCATCTTGATCTACAAGCCTTATCCCAAAGTGCATGCTTGTTTGTCAAAGCGAAAGAATCTGCCAGAGTTAGATGATCAATTTTTCGAACAGTGGGTGGTTTGCTTGAAATTTTTTTTGGAAAGTTGCTCTGCCTGCTCGATCTCATCGGTGAAGGGTAGCCTACTTATGTTCGTATGTCTCGTCGTAGTGCTTCATCGGTGACCTCATTACATTGGAAATCACGCAATCACTTGGTCAAAAGTCTCTCTACTTCTTCCTGAATTTGCCTTTATTGGGCAGCTACCTGTAGTCATGACCTGCTAGTCTAGGTTGCTCTTCTATGTATTCAGTTTTTCAATGCCATGGCTACGGTGCATGTGGTACGTTTCTAGCAAACGAGCGAATTTCTCGTAGGCTGCCAATTGAACTTAAGCCAGATTGAGTGACTCTGGGTGTGGAAATAATGTATCTGCTTGAGCAGTAGAAGTGTGGTAGACTCCAGGCACGAGATTTAAGTTGGAAAATGTCAAATTTGCAAAAAAAAAATGTGGTGAAAATGCTCCCAATTCAATCGTCTATCTTGAAATTTGGAGCCGGGAAGGTTGAACTAATCTTGGACCGATTTAGGCTACTTGGAAGGCCATAGGAGCAGGCTGGGCCACAAGAGTAGGCTGGTTAGCAAGAACAGGCTGGGTCGTGGGATCAAGCTAGGCCACAAGAGTGGGCTACTCTGTGGGAGCAGGCTGGGCTATAGGAGTGGGTTGATCGGTGAGAACAGGCTCGGCCGTGAGAGCAGGCTTAACCACGAGAGTAGGCTACTCGGTGGGAGCAAGCTGGGCCACGAGAGTGGGCTACTCGACGTGTGGCGCACGTAGGTGCGAGGCTAGGGCTCGGCTTGGCAATGCATTGGGTTCGCATCAAGTTTTCGACGGCACGGACCAGCTCAGCTAGGGCTTGGGCCCTTAGAGGTTGAAGTGGCACGGCTCGGGCCGTGGTGGTTGCCACAGTGGTGCCTCAGGGGGTGTTACTCCACCCATCGTTATGTTGAGCCTTGAAGATTGTCGCAGTCCTAATCTTTGAATGTAGGAATTTTTGTTTATCGAGGTTTCTAAATCTCTTGCCATTTGTACTTTTTTTTTACGTTTTATTAAAGAATTTGTAGAAATAAAAATTCCAAGAATAAGAACATACAAAAAATCTACAAATAAGCAAAGAAACAAAAAACTTTAGATGCAAGAGTCTTTACAAGCGTGTGACTTAACTTTCAATGAAAACACCAATTTGTTGATGTAAATTTCTTCCTCCTTGCTCTTGGACAAAATTGTATCTACAAAACAAATAACACCTTAGGTCAAGGCCAAGAGCCTCACATGCCCACAATGAATGGTGAAGGCTTTGGCTGAAGAACCTCTGATGCCAAAGTTAGAATTTTTAGGGAAAGTGTTTGGAGAATTTAGAGAATTTAGCAAGAGAATTGGAATTGGGTTTTAGAGAGAATAAGGTAGTATTTATTAGGGTATGGCCAGCCCTTTTAGGAAGAGGAAGACCAGCCACTTGGTTGGTATTTTGGGTGAGGTTCATGATTTGTAGCTAATTAGGAATGATTGAATAATAAATCAATTAATTAGCTAATTAATATAATTAAAAATGAATGATTTGGGGTTACCTTGTGGAGAGGATTTGATGAGGATGGATGAAACAAGTTTAAAAATAAATACCTATTTGGGCATTTTTGACTTGATGGAGGGATGATTGTCCACTGCTCGCGAGTAAGAATTCTGGTGTGTCTCGAGGGTAATTTTGTCCTTTTACCCAAAAATCCACATGTCACCTCTTGATCATTTTTGGCTCCACAGTTGTCTTACGGTTAGTCCTTGATCATTGATTGTGTCAAAGGAACTCCATCAGAGGGTGTCTATGGCATAGTTAACGTTAAGCCACTTAACTATAGAGGTAGGTGAATGCACAACAAGAGATCTCTAACCTTCAAACCCTTGAGGAAGAATACTCTATAATCTGATTAAGAATCTCTAGCCAGAGTAGCCAGAGTATGAATGAGATTTAGGAAGCCATTCCAAATACATTTACGGTAATCATATAAGTAAGAGGATCACATTGGTTTATAAACATGAATAAACTATCAAACTAAACAATGTGGTCAAGTGTATTGTATTAGAGAAAGACCGTATTGCATTTGTAATCCCAAACTGAATAGGTTCTCTAACCTCTTCTGATTAGCTTGGGTAGCCATGACATACTGCTAGGTGTCACTCATAACTTGTGGAAGCTCTAAAGATGTATAATCACTAAAGGGAGAATTGAATGTAAGTTTCAATTCACAATCGATTAGTAAGACTTATAATCGCCCACTGCCTCGCTAAAAGGAACCTGATGGATCGCACACCATGTAAGATGAGTAAGGACAATTAAATAGTTTAATTATATATGGTAAGGATTAATCAAAAGTTAATTAATACAAAAATTAAAAAAATAAAATAAAATAAAATAACGGAAGGTTCATTTTAGGCTTTAAGTTGGTTTCGGGTTACTAGACTCAAAAGGGTTTTGGTCCACAAGGCACATAAGGTTTAAGTTGTATGACAACTAAAACAAAATGGGCAATTAACCCACTAACAATAAGGAGGCCGGCCTTGCTTAGAGAGGGAGTGGTTTTGGACTTACAACAAGTTTGCTAGTCCATTAAAGATAGGTATAAAAGTATATTTATAGCTTTTTCTTCTTTTAGGGGCTTCTTTGAGGAAAGATAAGAGAACACAAGCTCTCTCTTTCTCTCTAGGAGGCCGGCCACTTTGGGTGAAGATTGCTAGCATTTGCTTCATCCATAGTCACTCATGTTTTTCCTTCACCATCCTTGGTGTCGGAACTTAGAGGTCTCCAACTTTGGAGACTTTTGGAGAATCCATTCATCATTTCTTATCCAAGAAATCATGGAGCAAAAAAGCAAGGAATGAAGACCCTTTCTCTTGGGTGATTAGCCTTTGCTGATGCAAAGAGGATTCAACAAAGATATAAAATTTTCTCAACTATCATTGTGTTTTGAGTTGAGTCTTGGTTCACGACAACTACTAGACTTTGAATTTCATGCTTTAAGTTTTGTTTTAAAGTGCATAGAAACATGCTTCCGCCATCTAATCATTAAATGCATGTATTGTGTTGCTTAATGAACTTAGTTTTTCAAAAACTTTCCTTAAGCAGACCCCCCAGGTTCAAAAGATTCAACCCCTTTAAAAAGGGAGTGAAAATGAAATAAATGACAAATCTACAATTCATGATTCTGTACTTCCAGAAAAAGAAAATGTCGTTGATGAGACACATGGACCTGAAGAAACAGAAGCAAATGAAAGCAAAGAAATCTCTATGAATTATTCATGTAATAATGAATTGTGGGATCAAAATGAAATGATCGTCGAGGACATATTCTCATTTGTAGTAGCCACTAAGATCATATTAAGTGATGTATTGAACCTAGTTCTGTTAATGAATGAAAACAAAGACAAAATTAGCCCAAGTGGAAAGATGCAATCTAGACAAAAAAATTTAAGTGCACTGATATATTCCTACACAATCCAGGTAGAATTAAATTCCTTGAAAAACGATTTTTTTTTTGGACTAGTAGTTCAAACCCCACTTGTCGTGAATCCTGTAGGTTACAAATGGGTTTTCACAAGAAAGCACAATAGAAAAACAAGATTGCAAGATATAAAGCACGACTCGTCGCACAAGGTTTTTTTCAAAGGCCTGAAATTGATTATGAGGAGACATACTATCATGTAAAGGAGAGTAGATACTAACATCTATATGAAAGTCCCATAAGGATTTAAGTTGCCTAAAACGACTAACAAACCACGAGGTATGCTCTCAATCAAATGAAGGCAATCATTATATGGGTTGAAACAATTTGGACGAATGTGGTATAATAGTTTTAGTGAGTATTTAATCAAGGAAGCATATACCAACAATGTCATTTGTCCTTGTGTGTTTATTAAGAAATCAAACTCTAGATTTGCTATAATTGTAGTATATGTCAATGGCATGAACTTAGTTGGAACTCCTGATAGCTTAACAAAACTGTTAAATATTTGAAAAGCGAATTTAATATGAAAGACCTTGGGAAAGCAAAATATTGTCTCGGCCTGCAAATCAAGTATTATTCTAATGGAATTTTGGTCCATCAATCAGCTTATATTGAAAATGTCCTAAAGCGATTTGGTATAGATAAAGCTTATCCACTCTACACGTCAATGGTCATTCGATCTCTTGACATCAAGAAAGATCCGTTTCATCCAAAAGAAGATGATGAAAATGTCTTTGGTCTAGAAGTACCCTATATGAGTGCAATAGGTGTTTTATTGTATTTAGCACAATGTACTAGACCAGATATAGCTTTTTTAGTCAACTTGTCAGCAATATATTATTCTGCTCCAACAGTTCGACATTGGAAATGAGTCAAAGATATTTTACGATAACTTCGTAGGATAATAGACATGGGCCTTCTCTACTCTGAGAAACCCATAAATGACCAGAACCTTCTTGGATATGTCGGTGTTGGTTTTCTCATTGATCCACATAAAACCCACTCACAAACTGGATATGAGTTCATTTATGGAAATACAGCAATCTCATGGTGCTCAATGAATCAAACATTTGTTGCTACATCTTCCAATGACTCTTCAATACTTATTCTTCATGAAGCCAGTCATGAATGTTTTTGGTTAAGATCAATGATCCATCATATTTGGAACTCATGTGGTCTATTGTCAAAGACAGACACTTCAACTATCATTCATGAAAATAATGTAGCATGTATTGTTCAAGTTGAGGAATGAATCTTCAAAGGTGATAAGACTAAACACATCCCTGATTATTTTCAGCACACATGAGCTTCAAAAAGTTAAAGTTATTTTGAAGTTAAACAAATCTGTTCCAGTGACAAGTTGGTGGACCTGTTCACCATATCTCTACTGAAGTGTACATTTCAGAAGCTGGTGCATGGTATCGGATTACATCGACTTATTAATCAATCAGATTGGAGATTGCGGAGTCAGGGGGAGATACACATCAGAGGGAGCATCCATGATACATACATGTTGGACTCTTTTTTCTTCGACTAAGATTTTTCCCACTAGGTTTTTCCTATCAAAGTTTTAACAAGGCAACATAAGCATACTTAACACTATATTAATAATCCAAACAAAGTTATACTCTTTTTCCTTCGCTACGATTTTTTTCCACTGAGTTTTTCCTAGCAAGGTTTTCGTGAGGCAATTGATGTTGATATATGGGCATCCAAGGGGGAGTGCTGTGAAATATAGTGTGAATGCCATATATATGATTGTATGAGGAAGCAGACCAAAATGGACTTTGGTGACAACCATTGAAAGATTTAGGTGAAAAAGTCTTAAGGGAACGAAAAATTTTCTTCATACATGTAAGGTGTTGTCGAATCAAAACCTCTATATATAGAGGTATGTTTGTATCCTCAATACAACAAAACGAGATGAAAAGGGAAAGTAATAATATCAATCTCCCACCCCTTTCCTTACCTGCATTCTTTTGTGTGATACACTTACGAAAATAAATAGTGTGATACATTGCATCCTTCTACTTCGATCTCTAGCAAAGGTTATCTCTCTCACTTTTGTCTATTTATAACATCAGAATGTATATCTCTTTGTTTTTATTTTTATAGCACTCGTCACGTAACATAATTACAATAATGTATGTTTCTAATTGTAACGCGTTTCTTGTCTTACGTAACAAAAAAAAAAAATACTAGTTACTAGTTAGTGTGGCATCCCAAGTTCCCAATAGGCAACCAGATCCATCTTACAATGTCCTACACATAACATCAATGCTCCAATACATTTGGCAATTTGACAACTCGAATAGACTGTTTTAAATGAGTGTTATATTATGCTCATCTCAGTCTTATTTTTTCACTTAAATAATATTTTTATCCATCATAAAATGTTTAAAAAATCAAATACAAACACCCAGAAATAGGCCAATTCAATCCAAAGCAACCACAACTAAGCATCACATATAACAGTGACAGCTCATTTTCTCTTTGTCGTTGGGGAACTTACCTTCCTTTCTTTTTCTTCTCCTTTTTCTGTTCCTCCATATCACTTGGAGAAAAGAAGAGAGAGAATTTCCTTAATACATCTAGATTTAAGGTTCATATTCAGATTTATTCTTGAATTCCAATTCAAAATTAAAGGTTGACAAGATGGAGAAAAGAAGAGAGAGAATTTCCTTAACACATCTGGATTTAAGATTCATATCCATATTTTTTTCCTGAATTCCAATTCAAAATTAAAGGTTGAAAAGATGGAGAAAAAGAAGAGAAAGAATTTGGGATGAGTAGGGTGGACGGAAGAGATAGAAGATAGAAGAGGACAAAAGAGTTAGAAGGGGGTAAGGGATCAAGAGAAATAGCAAGGTTGTTGTTGGGTTGCTTGAATCGTTGCTAATTTTAAGTTTTTTTATTTTTTTTTCTATTTCTTTTTTTCTTTGACTACAAAGAATACATACGAGGATCGATTTCTTAACAAGATTTTGAAGTCTTCTTATATAATTACATTTGGTATAAAATTTTCAATAAAATAATGTGTGAAAAAATAAGACTATGGGGTGAAAATATGAAAAATCTTTTTATTTATTTTTTTTAATACCATCACTTTTTAAAATAAAAGATTAAACATTTTACATTCTCAAAGTTTGAGGTGATCTCCAAAAATGGGCAAGTAAGTTTTAATTTTCTCGCATTGCTACCTAATTTGAAATTGTATCAACTTACACTTTTTATCTAATGAATTATTTGAATCTTCATTCAATTGATGGCATGATGAGCAGTAGCAGATCTATAGAGGGACCTGGGGGGTCCCAGGACTCCTCAACAACCCTAAATTGCTGCTAGAAATTTTCTAGGGACCCCTCGTACTTGAACACAAGGTATGTGCAATGCAAGTTGCAGGTTGCAACGGCACCTTCTTATTGGAGAAGACAATCACGCGCAGAGAAGAAGGAAAATCCCCTTTTAACAATTGGCCCAAAACGATAGTGTTTTGGCCAATTGTTTAAAAAAAAAATTAAAACAATGGGCAAAACACTGTCATTTGTCCATTGTTTTTAATCCCAACCCCAACCCCACATCTTTCCCCACTGTCCCACCCTTCCCCACTCTTATGCTTCCCCAATGCCCAGGTTTAACATATTCACCGAAATTCCAATCCCCAACTCCCCAGATTTCAAAACCCTAAAATTCTAAATCCCACCCAATCCCGTATTATAATTTTATTACTCCAATATCATACCTCCACTTGTTCCAAATCTCTGGGCCACCACTATTTTGTTCACAATTCAAGTAAGTTTTTTGGTATTCTAACATAATCTCAATTAAATTATATTAGATACTGATGGAGATTTGGTCTATTATTGATATGATTGTTCATATGTTTTATGTTTATACTCATTTGATCATTAGAATTTAGATGAAATTTTTGTTTATTGGTTAATTGGTATATGTTTTGCGTTTTTTGTTATATGTGTAGTTTAGAAATAAGAAATATGGAAAGATTTTTCAAGGCAAAGCCAATAGGACCATTTATTTGTTAGGGTAGTTCGAGCTCAAGACAAAATGAGTGTGACATTGATTTTAATAATCTTGAGAGAGACCCGGGATTAAGAATTCGAATGAAGGACTATCCTCCTAATATTCAAGATGAGGTCCGAAGAGCATATTTGCAAATGGGACCTTGTAGGCCTACAAAGCATGAGTTCCCATACACTTTGCATGCAAAGAAAAAGCGACGATTTGTTGTTTGTGGTTTGAAGAATATGATTGGTTGGAATATAGTATATCTAAAGATGAGGTATTTTGTCTTCATTGCTATCTCTTTATAATCAACTTTTCACAATTAGGAAGTGATGCCTTCACTGGAGTAGGCTTTAAGAAATGGAAGAATGCAAGAGAATGTTTTGACAAACATGTTGGTCCTATTGGTAATGTCCACAATAAAGCTAGAGAAGCGGCTAGTTATCTAATGAACCAAAAGACACATCTTGAAGCAGTTGTGATCAAACAATCAGAAGAAAAGTGTATGAAATATCATCGTTGCATGAATGCATCAATAGATTGCACTAAGTTCTTGTTGCGACAAGGTCTTCCTTTTCGTGGCCACTATGAAAGTGACACTTTAAATAATAGGGGGAATTATTTAGAGCTCTTGCAATTCCTTGCGGATCATGATGAGAAAATAAAGGAAGTTGTGCTAGAAAATGTTCCGGGAAATCTCAAGCTAATAGCTTCTTCAATTCAAAAAGATATTGTCAATTCATGTGCCTATGAAACCATTAAGGCTATTATGAAGGAAGTGAAAGAGAGTAAATGCTTTTCTATAATTGTAGATGAATCACGTGATGTCTCAACAAAGGAGCAAATGGCAATGGTTTTGCGTTATGTGGACAACAAAGGTCAAGTAATTGAAAGGTTCATGGGAGTCCAACATGTTATTGAAACAACTTCAAGTAAACTAAAGGAGTTTATTGATGAGTTCTTGAAACTACATGATTTGAGCTACTCCAACCTACGAGGTCAAGGTTATGATGGCGCGAGTAATATGAGAGGTGAGTTCAATGGCCTTAAAATAAAATTTGTTCATTGTTTTGCTCATCAACTATAATTAGCTCTTGTAGCTGTAGCAAAGAAAAACTTCGATGTTGCCACTTTTTTCACATTAACTAATAGTTTGGTGAATGTTGTTGGATGTTCATGTAAGCGTTATGATGCACTTAGAGAGAAACAACAAGAAAATCTCATGAAAGCTATTGAAAATGAGTGTCTTGAAATGGGGCAAGGATTAAATCAAGAAACTAGTCTCAAACGTGCTGGGGATACACAATGGAATTCACATTATGGTGCTTTGATTAGTTTGATTATAATGTTCTCATCTATGGTGGATGTGCTTGACATGATTGTTGAAGATGCTACAATGATAGTGTTGGTGAAGCAAAAAGGTTATTAAAAGATATACAATCTTTTGAGTTTGTGTTCCTTCTCTTTTTGATGAAATCCATATTGGGAGTTACTAATGATTTGTCACAAGCATAGCAAAAGAAAGATCAAGAGATTGTGAATGCAATGGCTTTAGTCAAGACATGTAAAGAACAACTACGTTGCATGAGGAATGATAAAAAAATTGATCTTTTGGTTGATAAAATATCATCTTTTTGTATCAAACATGAAATTGAGGTACCTAATATGGATGATTCATATGTCATTCAAGGGAAGTCATTACGTAAGGTTCCAAAAACGACCAATCATCATCATTATAAAGTGGAACTCTTTTTTGAGGTCATTGATTTCCAACTTACAGAATTAGATGATCGTTTCGCTGAAGGTAACACCAAATTGCTTATTTTCTTGGCATGTTTAAGTCCGAATGATTCATTTGTAGCTTTTGTTAAAGAAAAGCTTGTCCACCTTGCTCAGTTGTATCCTAAAGAATTCATGGATCGAGATAGATCAGCACTTCAAGATCAACCTGATATTTATATTCATTTTGTGTGTTATGATAATGATTTTTCTCAATTGCGGAAGATTAATGACGTTGCAAAGAAAATGGTGGAGAAAGGGTTGCATTAAACATTTGCGTACGTATATTTGCTTGTTCAGTTGGCTTTGGTTTTACTGGTTGCAACTGCTTCAGTGGATAGGGCGTTTTCCGATATGAATATCATTAAGGGTCAACTTCGCAACAAAATGGAGAATCAATGGTTGAGTGACAGCTTAGTTGTTTACATTAAGAAAAATGTTTTTTCATGTATTGGTAATGAAGCTATCATAGAACATTTTCAGACTATGAAACCTTGTCGTGGACGCTTGAATTAGGATTTTATAGCTTGTAATATTGTTTTGCGTATGATTTTTGAATGAAATGTATTATATTTAACTTTTCAATGTTATTTTTGTCTATAAATTTTTTGACCTTTATTAATGGGATCCCCCGAGTTTAAAATCCTAGATCCGCCACTATGATGAGCATAAAATCTGTAACTGGGTTGACCTGTAAGCCACTTTTGCGTCGCATAGCCTAAATAACTCATCAATTTAATAGATAATTAGACGCTTAAATATACAAAATGTGCAAATTAACGCAATATCAATATTTTAGAAGGCAATGTGAAAAAAATTAGAACATCCTGGCCAATCACCTCAACCCTCGTATATATGACGGGATAAAATTAAAAATCCGACAGCATAATGTGAATTATGAGTGCACATGAAAGGAAATTTCTACCATGCTTATGTTGGAATGACATTTTAATTGTTAGATCTTCGATTAAAACACGTAAAAATCAAAGATATAATGATTAAAAGAACTATAATATTTTGTATTCTGAAATACTATAAAAATTTTGCATGAAATTGGTGCGCAAACATATATGATTGCCACCTCTTTTTTTTTTTTTTTTTTTTTTTTTTTTTTTTTTTTTTCTTTTTGGGTTGTATATAACTTCAGTCTTTCAACGTTGAAGCAAGTGGTCATGACTCACGGGAAATTGGGCTGTGCATGGTAGAGAAGAAACGTTAACAAGTAAAACCATAAAATGGCCATAAACCCTAATATAAAACCAACAATGCTCATTGATTTGAGAGAGTCGGGAAGACATTTATCGTACGCACTTTATCCTTATTCTGCAAAGAGACTATTTTCACGACTCGAATTCATAATATTTCAGTCACAAAAAAACAACCTTTCTATTGCGCCAAAATTCACCCTTACCATAAATCTTAATATGAAAAGTAAAAAATAAAAATAAAAATAAACTGCAAATCTACCATTGTCTTGTTGGCAGTGCCGATCTAGAGATTTTTGAGGCCCGGGGCGATACCAAAAAATGTGCCCTCACTCTATATAAAAAAATTCATTGTTTTCACACAAAAGACATCAATAAAATTATATTTAGAAAATCACTTCAAACTCAATAAGTTAGAAACACGGAAAAACTAATTTATTTTGTATCGTGAGAAGGAAACAAAAACACTACGGTTTAAAGTAGATAGATATGAGTTTTGTTTTCCATCTGAACTTTTAAAGTGTTTTTGTATAAATCATGAGGTGGTTTTTCTTATTTACTAACCTTGTCAATATGGGATTAAAAAATAATGATGTTTGTGAGTCTTTAATTGATATGCATAAGTAATAAATGGGTACTAAATTAAACTTTTTGATGACACGTCATATGATTTGCAATTTGGTCAACGCATTACTCTTTGTTGAAGATTGGACTTGAATTGAAACAAATGTTTAAAAATAACAACCCACATAGCTTGTGACAGCCCGTCCCGGAAATTTTAAAAACGTACGCGTGAAAAGACGATTTTGCCCCTAGCGTGATTTTCGTTGTGTGGTTGTTCTTTTTGGTTTGGTGTGGCTGGTTTTGGGCCACACACATTCCCCCACACACTCACCCTCACCATTTCCTGTTCCCTCACCCCTGTCCCGTGCCATTTCCCTTCCCATTCTCCCTATAACGTACGGACACACACACAAACCACCCAAATCGTCATAGATCGAAGTAACAAAGTACCTATCCATGCTCGTGAGGCTTATAGGAGTCCAACCATACCCATTTCAGGTAAGGTTACCTTCGTTTTCACGTCGAACTCGTGATGTCCGATTTGAGGTACTGTTCATGCACACGTGATTTCTCATGTTTTAGGGAATTCCAAGCTTGTAGGAAGCTTGGTGAGGTCCCTAGGAGGCTCGGGGTGGTTCGTTTGAAGGTTTTGGACGTCGGGATAGTGAGTTTCGAGGTTGGCCGGAATTGGAGGAGTTTTCCAGGTGAGATTTCATGGGTTTTAGCACTTGAAAGTGGTATGATTTTGTTCCTCGTGTTGTAAGCTTCAATTTGGTACCAATTTTGTGAAATTTGGTTGAAAAACGAAGAAGATATCGCAATTTGAAATTTTCCCGATTTTTTGGCACCGGCGACGGTGCCGAAGGCTCGCCGGAGAAGACGACGGAATATTTCGTCAAATCTGACGGAATATTCCTGATGCCGTTGACGGTTACCGTTAGGGATAACAGAATATTCCTAACGGCGTCAACTGACGCCGTCAGCGTGCCAGGCACGTGCCTGCGCGTGGCCGGCGCGTGGGGGCGCGTGCGGCGGTGGAAAATTTTTCTAAAAATATGGGGGTGTTCCTAAGGTTGAGTAGATCACGTTGGTGTATTCATACACCCCATTTGAGCAATGTATGATAAGTTATTTCTAAAGTTTGGTTATGTGCTTTAAAATTAACGTTTTTATAGTTGTTTCGCATATAGGTGAGACGTATCTCGAGGACGAGCGTGGTCACTCGAGGCAGGGGGTTACGACCCTTCTACTAACCAGTGAGTGGGCTTTTGGTTTTCCGTATATACCTATATACTTATACGTTTCCCAGAAAATGAATTAAAATATTTTTACATTATTATGCCATGTTTATTGTTTGCCATTTGTTTATGCATTATTGGTTATATATATATATATATATATATATATATACATGTGTATTGGTGCTGTGGACGCACAGGTAAGTGCCAGGTGAGTATAATTTATATTTACGTTCAGTAGTGATTCTAGAGACTTAGAGAGCTCGTAACCTGCACCCCGGTGTTAGTGCTCCCGCCCAGAGTAAGGCACAGTCCTTCACGTGATGTTCACCTCCCGCACCACACGCTCATCTTCGATCCAAGTTAGGTGCACAGGCTTGTCGTACAGACCACTTTAGGTGGTTCCGACTCGTAGGTGACCCGCGACTATTCGCCCAGCCTTCACGTGATCGTAGCACTAGAGCGTACTTATATTACACCCAGGCCTGTCGTACAGACCACTTTAGGTGGTTCCGACTCATGTGCAGGTATAGTTAGTGAGATGGAGATTCGAGCTCTAGATTCAGCCGTACAGGTCACGTTAGGTGACTCCGGCTAACAGTTACATAGTATTGATCTGATGTTTCCTGAGCATTGGCATATTACTTCGAGACATATTGCATGGCACGTTTTTCGAGCATGACTTATATATATATATATATACTATTTTCTGGGAAGTATACAGGTTTTACGGCGAGGGGTTAGAACTTATTTATTAAATTGGTTTTCGAAAAGCTTTATTTTTGCCCACTCACGCTTTTATTTTGCGCCCCTCCAGGTTCTAGTTGGCTAGCATGTTTGGTGGCTTGCCTGAGGATTTTCCCGACATATCTAACAGACCACCACTAGCGTAGGACCACCTTCGGGTGTGCTTTTGTGTCGTCATTCCCCTTTGGACTGCATTAGGCTTTATGCTCTGAACTTAGTGTCGCACTTACGCTTGCACTTGTTTTTATTACTTGGTGTAAAGCTAGTTTTTATTTATTCGTACCATTTATATTACTATATTATTAGCTTCCGCACTGTGCACATGGTTACATCACTTTCACGTGACGGCCAGCATGCCCTGATCTCGATCGGGGTGTGTCATAGCTACTAGTTACTAATTAAAAATAAGGCCAAATCGGATAAATGATCCCTGTGATCATAAGGTATTCAGAAAATAGCCCCTGTGTTAAAAAAAAACTCAGATTTAAACCCCTATGGTGTACTCCGTTAGCAAATTTAGTCCAAAAGTGATTTTTCTGTTATCAAAGTATGAATTTAGGGTCACTGAATTCATCCACCACCCGAGAGTCGATAGCACCAAAAGCTCCATTCCGAAAATGTACTTTGTTTCCTCCACCTAATCACAATCACGAGAAATCCAAAAAACACAACAGTCCAGCAATTTCACAAACACTCAAATTACAAATGTAAATTTACACGTACTTGCAAATCTAAAAGGAGGAGACGTAGGCGACGGTGGCGAGCTGACTCATCCATGACTTGCCCATCTGAAATGGCCTGCTGGCAATGAACCTATCAAAGTAGTTCACAGCCGGAATGGGGGTCAAAGAAGAGAAGCCATAGTGTGCCTTTACACACAAAATCCACTCAACCACCTCATTCTGAGCCGTCATCAAAGACCCATTTGAGATTTCTCCATTGAAACACACATGGGTTTGTTCCTCTTTGGAGATTAGAGAGGAAAGTTCATCATTTTCCCATAACATATCACTTTCCAGGAAAATCAAAGGGAAAGATGATTGCTTTTTTGAAAACCCATCACAGTTCTCGCTCTCCTCTTCACTTCCATTGTTTTCCAAATCTTCCTCAAATCCTTCTTCGCAAAATAATAAAGGATCGAACGCCATTGGAGGGTTTTGGAGTTCTTGGGGTTCTTCTTGCAGAGTCATCTTCTTCGGAGAAGAAGAGAAGAAAAACTTTGGTCATTACACAAAAAGAACAAGGGAGAGAGAAAGGGTCGAGCTCATGCCCATATCCATCTCTGAGTCTGTTCCTTTCTCTCTCTTTACATTTTTAGGAGAGAGAGCGCCTAAAAAATCACCTTTAATACATAGTTAACGGAAAAATCACTTTTGGATTAAATTTGCTAACGGAGTACACCACAAGGGTTTAAATCCGAGTTTTTTTAGCACATGGGCTATCTTCCGAATACCTTATGACCACAGGGATCGTTTATCCGATTTGCCGTAAAAATAAATTAACAACCAAACAAAAATTCGTAAAATGCACTTAGCATTTCAAACTTACAACATGGTGTTTTGAACTCAAGACCTTCTCATTAATTTCAAACAACAAAATCACCAGTTCTAGTTAAATTTCTTTGTCCTTAAACCAAATTTTGTAAATTTATACTCTTATGCAAACATATATAAATATATTACCCTAATAATTTTGGTGCCCCAAATTATTTTGGGCCCCGGACATCGCCCTGGCAGCACTAGGCCTGGGCCAGGCCTGCTTATTGGAGTCCATCAAAACTATGTAATAGAGAGGAGTTAGCATTGAGCACCAGCCTCCTTGCATCTCATGAAGTCTCTGTACAATAATATCACATAATGTAAATCTAACTTTCACTTTTGCTGCAAAACAGTAAAAGCCTCTCTCTCTCTATATATATGACTCTAAACCCTAGCTATGTAATAACTGAGATTTGGGGTTTTCACCTTGATTTTTTTATTAGTAATAATTTCAAATTTCTTCGTTAAAACTTCTTATTTTTGACAAACGATAACGTTAATGGGTAACAATTGTTAAATGCTAAAGATGTTGGATTGAACAACAGATTTTTGAACAAAAGGAAAGGGAAGATGACACAAGAGAGTACCAAATTTTAGTACTTGGTGAACAACTATAAGTTTACCGCAAGTGACCCTCTACCACAATGATGAAGATGAGTGTGGTTCAAACCTTGTCAGCTCCCTAATCTAACATTTAATCTGACAAATCTTTTGTTTGACAAAAAAAACAAAAAATAAATAAATAAAACAAACAGACAAACAAACAAAACAAAACTACTGTAAGTTTACCAACAATCATTTTGATCCCACAGTTCCACCCTTAACCGCTCACTTAAGAAATCCTCCAACGCAGGACAATATTTCCGAATAATGACGGGATGTGAGTAGCCTATCGATCAGTATTAAGATATATCCTATTTGGGCTAAGCCCTACAATTGAAGAAACTCATATTACTTACTCATGACTTCACAATTTTTGTTTTTCAATTTTGGTGAAATTGTATATAAAACAGCAGACCTTTTTTTTTTTTTTTTTGGGTGAACTGAAGATTTCATTACTAGGGCAAATATGCCAAAATTACATAGAAAGCCTACACAAAGGCCAGCAAACAACTTAAGTAAAACAAAGCCGAGTAGTGAAAAGAGGTACAAGAAAACCTGATGCTTCAAACAATGCTAACATGTCACCCCTTACATTACCACAACAAATACTAAGGAGGGCAAGGTAACCTATCATTGCCTAGGACATGAATAAGGGAGGATGGAGGTCGATTGGCCTTGGTGAAGTCGCACATCTCCTTGCATCGATGCGACGCCAATTGGTTAGTCACTATATTGGCTGATGTTGGGATCCAAGACCAGCGACAGTCTTGAAAAAATCTCCCACTTCTTGCTCTTTACCAGAGCGAGAAAGGCTTCCCAACTGCTATTTGTTAGCGCATTCCTCAGGCAAGAAATTGATTCCGACGGGTCAAACTCGATGATAACTAAATTCCAACCCAATGAGATACCCAACTTACACCCATGGAGAATAGCCAGCGCCTCTACCATTGCTACACAGAAGGCCTTGATGTGATATCTGCAAGCTACCTTGAAACTGCCATTCAAATCCCGCGCCACAACACAAACAAACCCAACAGCCGTAGCAGCCACCTAGTTGGCATCCATATTGATGTTTACGAACTAAGGGCAAGGTGGAGCCTAACAAGCCAGCGCAGAGGTGGCATCGCTGTTGGACAAATTAGTCGAGGCTGGCAAGTGAGAAGCCTTCGCGAAAGCTCCAGTAGTGGTGGAAATAGCCGCTAAAACCTACCGCAGGTTGATTGGTTGTTGGTTGAAAAGAAAGCTACATCTAGCCTTCCAAATCTATCAGCAAGCAAAGGCAAATAACACAAAACTAAGTTAAATTGACTCAAAACAAGAACTAGAGAGAAGTTTGGACGAAAATTAAACTAAATAGACTCAGAACACTAAATAAGGGTTGTTTTGACGAATTTAACTAAAACTAAGTAAATTGCAAAAACAAATTAAGTTTGGTACGAAATTGAGTGAACTAAAGGGTGAAAGGCTAGCTAGAAAGTCCTTCTCCACACATGACACATATGCATACAAATCGATTTCCAATTATTATTCCAATAAACCATGAATGACAATGCTCCAAATTAATTGTGAACAGCACTAATTAACTCTCAGATTTTCCTAATTTCATTGAATTGGACTCAGCGACGCAACCAAATTATTCTTATCAAGTTCCTATATGAAGTGCATGATAAAGATACACATCAAAGATCATTAAGTTCTATGAAATTCATAAGCATTGACAAGGCATTCGTAACTATGAACTGCATGATATTCTTGCCATGGATTTACTTAACACAATCATGACTAATGACTTCCACTACTTATAAATATAAGTTCATAACTATTAGGTGAAATTCCATTATATTTTAGCATCAGATTCATGCATGCAAACTATGTATGCATCCTTAATCAACATACAAGAATAAGTTATCAATCAAACAGATAAGTAAATCACATTCATGTTTTACGAAACAATAACTAGATGTAATCAATTCATATCACATATATGTTCATGGCTTTGAATTCACCTCTAACTCAACGAAATTAGTTCCACATGTTCGCATTAAACAAAACCAATCTAATTTAAACATTGAACTAAAACTAAGGATAGAAAGAACCAAGAAACGCTCCAGCACTCCAATGGCAGATTGCATAATCCTTGGATGCAAGGCACGACACAAGACTCCTTCTCTCCTTCCTTCCTTGTTGCGACACAAAGTATTTTTCTGATTTTTCTCTCTAAGGCTCTCTGGTGTGTGGTCCTAGAATTATGCAGCACTAAGTAGTATTCATAAGGCTAGATACGGCACAACTTCTGAAGGAAAAAGGATTGCACGGCATAATTTGTAAAGGAGAAGGATAGCACAATCCTAGGAGGAAAGGGAATAGGATACATGGCAGATTTCTAGGCTTCTAGAAAGAGCGGTGCGGCAGAGATTTAGGGCTGAGGATAGAGCTTCTAGAACCTGATATTTAGGTGATTTAATGTGAAAATGAGTCCCCTTTGCAGCTAGAATTAAGGTAGGATAAGATTAGGTTAGGATAAAATAAGATAAGGTTGCATAAGGTTTGGATAATGTTCCTTCGTTTTAGCTGATTCCTTATCTTCAATGTCTTGAATTATGTCTTCCAGATTTGTAGCACATTCCTAGCCTCTTTTGATCTTCAAAAACGTCCATCCACCTTGCTCCATGCATGTGTTATCCATTCCAAGCCCAAAACTGCTCTGAAATGCTCCAAATTGCCTTTTCTTGCCACTTTAGTCATTTGGACCTACAAACACATGAAAATGACTTAAAACACTCTAATAAATAGAAACTAATTGAGTAAATGCAAGGAAATAAGCTAACAAAGTCGCATAAATATGCTCCTATCACTTGGTGTTTATAAAGCCTATACAAAATATATAACATCGACTCATATTTCAATTAACCGTAAATATCAGGACGTGATATCGATGATTCAAACCGTTCATCTTCCTACATCCCCCAAAAGACCATGTTTTCAAAAAATAAAATTTTAAAATAAAATTCAATATGAATAATAAAGCGTAAACGACAATCGACGGTTAAATATAAATTTAAGGTTTATGGATTATACTGTTAGATTTCGAAGTTGACCCTTTCACGAAAGTTGTAAAGCTTGTCACCACGAGTGATTGTATATTTTTTTTTCACATTTCTTACACTTCTACAATGATTATTATTAATTTTATTAATTTTACACTCAAATAAAAAAACACTATTCATGATGATCTCGAGGGTTTTAAAAATCTAAATGATAATGTACGTGTAACCATTGTCTTCTCATGGAAGAATGATGAATCACAAATGTTTATATATTCTTTCACATTTTTCGTACTTGTAGGCGTGTCTTCTTGCCTATACTAATACTATACTAGTTGATTTTAAATTTGGACAACATGTTAAGTAAAATTTATCCTAGTAATGATATTAAGAAACTCTCATAATAAAAATAAATAAATGAATAAAACTTTTTTTTTTAACTTAGATAGAATAATAATACAAAAATATATATTTAATATAGAATATATCAATATATACAATATGGCTATTGTATTTTATAATAAAAAAATTTAGTAATTAAACTTTAAAATTATAATATATTTTTCTTAACGGGTCAAAACAGATTACTCATGTGTTACCAGTGTGTATACTCGTTAAGAACCCATTATTAACAAGTCACCCGATAATGACCCGATTAATTATCGTGTTGACCCAAAACCCGTTATTTTTGTCATTTTTGTGTCATGTCACCATGTCATGTAAGAAACTGCCTGTTAGTGTCGTTCATGAGGTCACAAATCAAACCATTCACTTCCTCCACAATAGTATCCCAGAAAGAGTGGTAGAAATTTCCTTTGAAGCCGTCAAGACCCGGGCCTTTAACCCTCCCATTTGTTGTGCCGCTGCCTTTTATCTCATCATCAGAGACCGGGGAGGTCAGATAGGAGATAACAGCATACATTTGAGTACTGGAAATAACGTATAAAGTGCTACTGAACCTCATAAAAAAAAATTGGGTATTACCTTCTCAATTAAACATATCTTTGAACTAAATATGATCAAATTTAAAACAAAAAACAGTCACTGGAAAACTTTACAATGGGTGAATGGGAATTACCAACTTTTATTTGACAAGGCTGCAACAAAGCCAATTTGACATCAAGAGTACATACCTCCTCCTTCTGATGGTCTTATCAGCTCCTTCTGATAAATGAGAAGCTTCTGATGTGGAAATGTGGTGCAGAGAAGAAAGGTACTCATGGTGTGCACCACCTCTCAAATTTGAGCACGTTCTTGAAGGTACAATTGACTGAATTACATCAAATACATGTGACTGGATTTCACTGCAATGCAGACACCATGAGTAAATGGATATCAGTAAATCTGGCATGCTCCTTAGATGAGTTAAAAGACAAATATTTGCAACATTGCAATGAATGCGCGTTGTGTTACACAAAAAAGTGGTCAGCAAACGTGAACATTGGCAATATTGAACAAATAAAAAGTTGAAACTATGAATTCAAAATTCATTCAAGACAATGACTATTAAAAGCATTTCAAAACAACATTATGAATGTCACAGGTTTTCAGACATTTTTCCACAGCAAGGAAGTTAAGCCAAATACCTTGTAGCATTTGGCAGGGACGTCTCTGAATTTCTTCTGGCAGATGAAGCCATACTTGCTCTCATACCCCACCCAATTAGCTTACCAAATGCCATCATACTGGGTGTGTTAGCCAGCATCTCCCCATCCAAATCCACCCTCCCTACACAACCTTTTTTTGATCCTACAGAAAAAAAATGCGTTTTGCATAGAAGCAAAACCCATGCTGCCCTATTGTGGACACCAACAATAATCGCTTATCACACCAGCTGTATGCATCTGACTCCTCCAAGGGGATCACTGATGGTTCCAAAGAATCCTGAAGAAATTACCAATTGCCAATATGAAATAAAAGATATATAATACAAATAATCGTCTAATATCCAACCCAAAAAGTATTGACACTTACACTTATCAGTGATTGGCTTTTAGAAAACATGTCAGTTTCTGATATCAAATTCTGCTCATTCGATCAGCAAGCATGACAATCAAAGAGGCATTGGGTTGTTCGGATGCAACATACTGCCTAAGATCAATGTGGTAGCCATCAAGGTTGTCCCATGAATCTTGTACTAAATCTGGACTCACAACTGAGGACTTTTGCCCCTGTATAAACTGGGAGCCCTTATTAAAGTCCACGCGGCTACACTCTCCATCAACTGATAAGCACTTGCAACAGTCTCCACTTGTTCCTTTGGAGAATTATCCAACTCCTGGTTAGAATACTCTGCATTTGTGGCACAATTACTTCCCCACTTATCAGAGTTTGCCTGTGCTAATATTAGTTTATTAAGATTGTTGGCTTCACCACGTTATTCATCACCTAAAGATACTCTTTTAATGGCGTTGGGAACATGGTCAGAAGACATTGTTTGAGATGATAACTCTGGCATATTGTCAATTTGAGTTTCAGGAAGAAAAGAAGATTCTGGTACACATGATATACCAACTGAGTAGCAAGTCTCACTTATGTGCATCTCATCTGCAGTTTCTGAACATTCACAAGATCCATCTATATTAGCTGCTCCAAAACTAGGTAACTCCACAGCTAATGGCTTAACTCCAAGGACTTCATTGTTATCTGTAACTGTAGGATATCCATTGGTCATAAACTCGTCTTCAGAATCAGACATTACAACAGCATGCATACTCCGAACATTTCGCCGACATGAGGGAAAAGGGGCACCTAAATCGTTGGAAGACTCAGAAGCAATATCAGTTTGAGCTTTATATTGACTGCAGTCATGAAGAGAGCCATTCCTGCTCAGCATTTCTACCTTCTTGGCCTCTAAACTTTCCATTCCATTACAAGGCATGTCCAACCTGTATTGCACTTCTATCTCGTGAAGGTTTTCTTCAATTACCTCCGTCGAGCTTGGACTTTCTTCCATCCTGAATAATGCCTTTGTTATCTCTTTCTCTACTAGATCAGATAACTGAGAGGGTAAATCCCATGGTAATATATTTGGCAGTATCAGATGGCCAGCCTCAACATCAAATAGCAGGAAACCATACGACTCTTGCATTTTGGTATCTGCAGAGACAAATCCACGATTATCTTTTTCTCTATGGAACTCTCAAGACAAACTTCTATTGACAAAAAAATAAAAAATAAAATAAGGGCCAAATTGTGTGTATATGCATACCAATCTGTTGCAAAGAAAAAAAATTATAGTGTCTGACTTATGATCCAAATAAAGATTACTCAAGAAAGAAACTTCTATTGGCTTAAATAAATGAGAAAAGCAGTTGACAAGACAAAAAATGATAAAAGCAATGCACTTCATTGTTGGGTATATACACCAAATGACTTGGCACATTCTACACTATAAATTTTATTACAATTATCAATCAAATTCCAACTTGAACTAAAGTAAAAATTTGATTGGTGACACATCATTTTGTGCACAACTTGGTGTCGCTAGCATTATTCTTCATTGTCACAATCCATCCTCGGGCAATCATTGTATACCTTAGTAACCTTACATAGTTTGACATTACAACTAGTTTTCTGAGAAGCTAAATAAATTAGAGCTGGTCAGCCTAAAACTGGTACATCATATTTTTTTTCTCATAAATAATTCGTTTCTCGCTCACTACTTAAAGGAAGATCCAAACTGTGAATAGGCCAACCCGTCTCACAGCCCATCTCCCTAGCTAGGGGCATCAGTTTCCTATCCATAACACTAACTCCACCAACGCAATTTTAAACAAAATCATCTTCACACCCAAGACTAATCCATAGACATTAATATTCTTTTATCAGAATACAAAAACCCTCCTCCACAAAAGTGAAAAAAAAAAAAAAAAAAAAAAAAAAAAAAAAAAAAAAACTGTCATTCGCAAATCGTGAGACACTTGCCACTCCCCTTGCGCACTGCAAGGTTGTCAACCATGTTACACTCTCTGTCTCTCCCAAGAAAATCTATTCAAAACATGAAACTAAAGTGAAGGAAAAAATGGGAAAACAGGTTCCCTGTCTATGCCTCTAGTAGTTTGAAATCTCCGACATGACCTCCTATTAATTATTACTGAAAATTTAACTGTTCTTGAGCCCCCAATAATCTGCATTGTATGATTTTTCAAAGCCAAATAATCACTTTATTTTCAATAGAAGGTAAATCACGAATTTGTCAATCTTCTGAAAAGAGGACTGTGATGCTATCATTAGGCCTAGGTGTGAATCATATTGTTCTTCCTTAAATAATTCCCTTGGTCTAACTCATCAATTTCGATGTCATCTGTAAAATAAAGTCGAGTCAAGCACTAAACATGTGAATTCATGTGCCCAACCTTCCCATTGCAGATTATTTGAAATTCCACAGGTATTGTGATTTGATCAACAAAAGTTGCACAAAACCTTAACAGAATAATGTGGAAAATATAGATCTAACTACGACTAACATGTACGCCTAACCCTTTCTAAAACTTCCACCCTGGCACCAGAAACTGAAGATGCATAAGGATCTTCCGAAACATATAGATTTCAAGTGATCCATAATGGGAAATTTGAATCAGAAAATGATGCACTAGAAGCACATACCATATACACATGAGAATGCAGCTCCTTTGGTGATGGCAACATGAAACGTACTTGTAATCTATCAAAACTGTCTGGCAGGACAGGATTTTCACCTACAATTTAACACAATCATTATAAGACTCTGCACATTTTGAAACACAAACGTTCAAGAGTGCAACTATTTCAACCAGTAACCCTCTTACTATTGCTAGTCAGTATTATGGACCCCTTGGCTGTTTTAGCTATCTGCTGAATTGCTGCAATGAAACCACGATCTTCAAGAAATATGATGTCCACATTGTCAAAAAGTACCAGATATTTAACTTTGTTATGATTGTCCTTAAGAGTCAGATTTTACAGAGGTTTCAATTGCCTCATGAGAATCTTCATCTGATATGGCCATCAACAAACAGGAATCATCGTCCATCTCATGGTCTGTCACATCATTTGCATCGACAAACAGGGATTTCACTAGACTTGTTCTGTGAACCCTTAGAATTTGCCACTGATCTGAAGAAATAGCATATTTAATTAATAATAGAGAAGAAGAAAAAATATTGTTTATTAATTTTTAAATCAGTCACCAATAATGATAGAGACCAACTATCAAGGTGATTACCAGCAAAAATTGCTAACAGCAGGCAATCTCTAATTAAAAGAACAGCTGAGTCTCTGACTATATACACTGTTCCAAACATCCCTGCCTACTGTTGCCTAGGCGCCGCCTAGTGTCGCCTGGCCATGCCTAGCGGCTAGGCAGCTGGCTACCACTTCAATTAATCCTTAGGCATTTGAAAATTAAGAAATTTAATGTGATATACATTGTGCACGTCGATAAACCAAAGAACCATACCTGAGTCCTTTCAAACACATGAATTGGACCACTAGTTATCTCTTCATCCTTGCTCCCAATGAAGCTCAAATCGCCATCAAATTCAGTTGCCTTTCGTCTTCACTTTCCGGCTTTACAAATTGAGAAAAATGGATGTATGTGCTTTCCAGAAAACATTCCTGAAAATACCCGTGACATTTCCTGATCAAGTATAAACAGAAGACACTTAGAACAACAAACCAAAGACCAAAGCTTGCACAAAATCGAGGCTAATTAACCCAATGAACGATCGAACAGTCCAACAAATAAAATAACAAAGATAGAAATAAAAATTAAATTAAACATTAAGTTGGGATTATATGCAGATTGTAGGGGAGATGAATTGAGCAAAGTTCAATCGGAAAGAGCGTGAAGCACATTGTATATAGCAGAAACACCGGCATATCAGACGATTGAAGAAGGAAAAAGCAGAAGTAGTGACCTCAGCTTTCAATCTAGCCTCTAGCCTGAAATCATTGATAACTCGAGGTGCATCTTCACTCTTCACTTCAGTTCCGTTCTTCTTCCTCTTCGGTGTACTATTCTCCGATCGCTTACCGTTCTAATTTCAAAAACAATAATTCCAAACAGTTCAATTCCATAAAAAATATTAATTTCTTAATCAATTCCAAACACATAATGTACAATAAGAATTAGAACAAAGCTCATCAACTACCGAAAAAAATGCACAAAATTCACCTTCTTAGGGGCTTTAATCGGAGGCGTCTTATTTCCCTTTGAATTCCTTTTCGTCTTGCTTTGACTCCCACAGAAGTCCTCGTTGTTGCTGCCCTCGTCGTCACCAGCATTCCATCTCTCGGCCTTCAGATCGCCGTTTACCTGGAGCTGTTGCTGGGGTTTGAGAGGGAACAATGTGGTCTGGACCAGTTTCCGGCGAACAACTTGCTGTTTAGGCGTCTCCGGCGGCTCGTTCTGAACTGAATCGTCCATGGATTGGATTGGGAATTGGGAATTTGGGAATTTGGAATTGGGTAGTGAAATTGAAATTGGAGGTTTTGTAGGGATGTGGGGAGAAAGACTGGTAGAGTTTGAGTGTGTAACGGAATCGTGAACTTAAATTGAGAAACAAGGGGTAAAAAAAAAAAAGAAAAGAAAATTATGGAGGGAGCGAGGACGTACTTCCCGCCTTTACGGGAGAGAGAACCTATTTAGACTCCAAATTTTGGAGTTTTTTTTTTTTTTTTTTTTTAGTATGATTCTTTCCCTTTTTTTTTTTTTTTTTAAGGGAATTTTAACGAAAAATCTGCAGTATTGTTCACTTTAACAAAAAATTGTATTTTTGCACTAAAAAGTCAATCCATGTATCATTCTATTTACCCTTTATTTTGTTCTTATCATTAAAACTCAAAGTTTTCAAACCTTTTTCATTAGTTTTCTTTTTCTTTTCTTTTTTTTCCTCCCCTTCCCTCATCTTCTATTTGAACGGTTACTGTTAAACCACGTCAACATTTTATATTAATTACTTATGGAAAGAGAAAGACAAAATAGAGAATGTGATAGGAGAGAATAGAAGAGAATGGAAAGAGGAGAGGATACTACTCCTTTTTTTTTTTGTTTGAAGTCAAGTACGACATTCATTATTGAATATGGAAGAAATCGTACAAATAGAGGATACGGTGCATAAACGGGCTTTGATAAAAACCTTGTTAGGGATTTCAATCCAGTCAAAGGAAAAATTGATTTGGAGTTTAGATATTTGAAATTTAATAATTTATGTTAATTTTGTTAAAAAAAAAATTCCATGTTAATTCAAATTACGCATTAAATTGTTGTTAATTCAAAGGGTGAATTATACAAAACTACCTCGAACCACAATCTCATACCTCATGTTTTAAACATTACAATGTCATACATCAACTTATAAATTCATTGCAGTGTCAAACTCTATTAAATTTTCTATCAATTTGGCTGTTAAATGATAATGTGGAAAAAGCAGGGCCCACTCCTTACCCAACACTTCCATGATCTCATCTCATCATTTAATATAAATTTTAGGTTTGATAAGTGATTTTTTGGCTGGTTTTATGACAGAAACAGCGAGAGGGAAATTCTCTCCAGTTTTTCGACGACTGACCCACCACTTTCCAGCCTATTTTCTGACCAACATCTATTAGCACTCAACCTCAATTTGGTATAGAGTTGTTCCTTACCATCTAAGCTTCATTTTGGTTTTAAAGCATTGAAAATGGTGGAGAATCGAGCTCGAAAAGAGCTCTGGAAGTTGGACCAAAAACCAGCTAGCTCATTGGCTTCGCGAGGAAGGTACAGTGGTACTCGTGGACAGGTAAGCACGCATGGTGGATGGCGCGTGGTAGCCATAACAGCCACCTTGTGGTTGCACGTGACGCAGCACGTGGAGGAGCCTGAGGTGCATCCTCAAATTTCTCGACATGCTGAATCCAAATCCGCCTTCCATTTTTTCAAATTTGACCATTTTAATATGGTTCCTTTATTAACTATACTTTGTACGAATATGCGAATTTACGTTAGTACGTTATATATTTAGGTAAATGGTTTTGCTTCTAGGTGAAACGAATTGCAAGAACCTTCGAAGCCAGTGAGAAGGGTTTGACCCAACTACATAATTTATGAACGAGTCTTTGCTTTTATATATTATATGTTTATTTAGTTTCTGTAAATATTGATTAAATTTTACGGGATTCACGATTATGCATACTTTTATGTGATGCCACGATATTACTAACGCTTATAAGAAAAGGTTATTTCACGCATTACGGTAATTCATATGGTTATACCAAGATTATACATATGTTGTAGAAGTATTGTTATATTGTTGAGAATTATAAAATTACTGTAGATCCATTGTAGGTGTCAGTCCTGTTCTAGATTGCTATAGGTACCTAGGACTCGTATGTGACACACTTAGTGCCAATCTCCATGTGATTGTAGTACTAGAGTGTACATCATTATTACACCCAGTCTTGTTCATGTCGAAATATCTTTGCATGAGCCCATGTGTCAGCATATGTCGATGAGCATCCGATATTATTTGTTCTTATATGCGAGATATTGGGATTCACCGTAGCAGTAAATTATTGATTTTTACGGAAATTGTTTTCATACTATATGTAGTATGATATGTTGGAAACTAATATTTGTTTTACAGTGAGGGGTTACAACTTTTTTGAAAACATTTTACTAAATTTTGCTTTTTGACCCACTCACCTTTGTTTTTCGTCCCTCCAGGATTTAGTGACAAAACTCTAATGACAACGAGGATTTCTTGCAAACTCTAAAATGTCAGAGGTTACTCCTGAAGGTATAATCATTATTTTACTTTTACTTATGCTCTAACATCACGTGTAAAATGAGTTCAATCTGCTCACATGTGCACTCTTGTAACATTAACTTTTAGGTTTTAGTTTATTCACATTTTTCCACATCAATACACTTAATGACTTCATCACCTTTCAAATGTCGTCCATCATATCTCGATTTGATGTCCAAGTGGACATGTCAGGTCAAGGTATGTTAGTCTCCCTGATGATGCCTATGTTATACTGGTCATCATTAACAAGTTTGAAATAATTAGACTTGACACTGGGAAATACGGGAGTCATCAGAACTGAATGACAATAGCCCATTTTTTTTCCTGCAAAATTAGAGAAATACCAAAAGAATATACACTTAGAAATATGCAAGCATCCTACTAGACTTCATGGCAAATACACGCCATATACACATATAGCTTTCTAGACTCTGCAAGAGTTCTACACTCTTTTACTCTTTTAAAAGTATGTTGCAACAATAAAGTTTTAGTTTGCACGAACAAAAGTGGCTTCGAGAGATAACTCACTCAAGTATTTAGTATGCAGTCTCCACATGACAAACAATCAAAAAAGCTCGATTTAGGAGGTACAGAGATCTGATTTAGGATTGCCCGATTTCATTAATCAAAGAAGCTCGATGGTTGAGGAAAATATGTGCTCTTACAAACAAAGAAGCTCGATTTCATTATTTTTTTCAGCATTCACTGGTTAAAAATACCTGGACGAGCATGTTTAATCAATTAGTTTGCTCTGAGGCCTAAGTAGAAGATGCAGTATGATTTATGTTTTGTTTACGGTGGCTCATTCTCTTAAGTCTGTAATGTTTGATTTGTTGCTTTTATGTAACATAGTTTTTTCTTTTCCTTCTCAAGAGTCGGCCTTCTCTCTGCAATTTTAGCTGCTCATCAGCAAGTCTCTACAATTCAATATTTCTCAGAGACCTAAAGCAAAGTAAGAACTAAGAAGCATGCACTCTACCTATCGTTGTTTGGTTCTTTTGGCATAGATCGGAGTCGCTCATAGGTCTTTCAAAATACGATTATCTTGACTGATGAGGTATACGAATATGGATTGCACACATTTGTGTTATTGAGGATGAGAGGGATTTATTGAATTTCACATGAGATGGCATCCACCTGCTGTCATAACTTTAAATAAAAGAAAAAAAGGTTTTACTAAAAAAAAATGAGTCGAACAGTAATTTCGGCCGATTTTGGCAAAAAAACCTAACCGATTGAAACCGAACTCACTATTAGGTAGTGAGACTTAAAATTCTTCTAAATAACCAGGAGAGGAGATGCATAAATAGATTGGTGCAACATTTTATTTAGAATGTAGCTTAAAAACCAGGAGGTGTGTATAAACCGGTATCTTATTTTCACATGCCTAGTAAATTGTTAAGTATGTTTGTAGCTATATATTTTTAGTGATCTCCAAATAAAACTTACATCAAGAGTTGTTTCACTTGTCAAAAATAGTATAAATCGTTGCTTAATGTGTCTTTATTCCATTATTGTCATATAGGTATTATGCTCTTTGATTTTAACTTTTTCTGGTTCAAGTGTTAAAACCTACGGTTGTAAATGATTTATGTTTATCATCATTGCAGTCAATAAAATGAATTTCTTCTTATATATTTATATTTCATAATTGTTTGACAATAAAAATAGTATAAAAAAAATAAGAGTTAATCTTGTTTATTATTCTGAAATTTCGTGATTTTTAACATTTGGTACATGAAGTTTTTTTTCATCCCAGAGTAATTAATTTTAGGACAGTCTCATACATCTGTTAAACTGACTATTAAATCAGGTGTTAACTGGCGCTCTTGTGGATAATGACTAAGCGTCATATGTCAATATGTGGTCCACATAAATATTAAAAAATTCAAAAATTCAAAAAAATTCAAACTTCCAAAAAATAAAAAAACTAAACAAATAAAAAATGGCCTAGGGATGTAGGCCTTCGCTTTCCTCCAACTGCACCACCCCTTCCTTTTCCTCTCTTCGACAACCACCAAAGCCGATCTCAAAATCAACACCACCATGACCTGGTTCTCTCTCTGTCTTCTCTATCACCAACAACAACGAGGCATTTATCGTAGCAATTCCGAACAAGAGTAAAAAGCCATAGCCCATAGGCCTCTGGACATCTGCAACTACAAAAAAAAACCCCAAAGTCCTCCCTTATGTTCTCCACTGAGCATCACCTTTAGCTACATCAAAACAACACATCACACCAATGAAGCTCTCTGCCATTGAAATAGCAGACCAAATCTAAGGAACACACACTGTGGGGTGCAGAGTCGGGCTCGGGCATCCTCTCTGGTTTGTGTGATCTTCCTTAGCAAGGCCAGGGCCTCTTCGATTTTGAACACGTTGCAGGGAGACTGAGTCGGGTTGGGTTGGGTATGGAAGGATTAGGGGAGGGATGGGTCGGGTTGGCTATGGATGGACTAAGGGAAGGATGGGTCTAGTTAAGACGGTGGTGAAGGAAGGGCGAGTGCGAATAAGGAGAGGGACGAATGTTTATCAAATATAGACAAATATTAGCCCCTAATTTCAAAAATATCAGTTTTTTATAAAAACTTTCAAATATATTCAAAATCTTCCTTAAATAGACACAAATACCTTTAATTCATACAAATAACTAGTTGTTGATTAAAAGATTCTTGTGTGATAATCAAGTGGTGCATTCCCTAATTTTTTTTTTAATTAGTAAAATTAATTGACAATATGTAGACCAAAATAAGAAGAATAAAAACACAAAGAAAGAAAATTTTCTATATTGTAAACTCTAATTTTTCTAATATGCACTAAAGGAATTTCAATTCGCTTTCCTCTAATAGATCGGCAAATGGTATTAGGTTTGTCAATCTTCCCTTGACAAAAGAAACATAATTTTTCTAATATGCACCAGAAGAATTTTTATTCCGTAAACCTTAAAAATATGTTTTTTGCATTTTCTAAGAACACAACAGATCTCTCGATTCACTA